AGTGATTTCATGGATTTCGCTTTTGGATACTGAGTCTCCACTAAAAGAAATGTGGGTTCTATTTTCACGGCATAAACAGCTTTTGCCTGCAGTTTTCGCATTAGTTCGAAGCTCCCGAGCTTTTTGCCTCGACTTTGACCTCTGAATTCTAGCAAGTGACGTATCTGGTGCAGCATAAATGCTTGAAATTCTAGCATCTGTCTCATTCTGAGGAGAGTTAACACTGTCATCTTGCTCAGTGACACAATTTAAGCTGTGTCTTGTGTCATTATTACGACACTCAAGCATTGTCATCGGTTCATGGCTTACATTGTGACCTTGATTATGAGCATGGGTTTCCATGCATATTTCAGTTGATAACTGTCCATTGCCCCCAGCAACAACTGGTCGATAATACCGAGAAAAGCCACCAATTGAATAAGGAACGGAGTCTCGTGAAGGTTGAAGTAAGAGCCTAGAGATGATCTCTTCTTTTTCCAAATCTGCAAAATAACACCATCGCGTAACAAATCAATCATCATAATACATTAATACTGTACCAAATATCATTGACAGAAGGATAATGGGTCTCTTGTCTTGGACAGGCTACAAAACTCAATTGTGCACAATGTTGTTCTTACTATGCTCGCAACCTCAGGATTTACACTTGTAGATAATAAAAATTAGTTATACTATTATCCCATTAGTCACCAGTCACTTTAGTCTCAACTGTCACCTTGTATCTTCCACCTACAGCCTTTACCTAGACAAACCTTTAAAACGTTTGGAAGTACCTTTTTTGAGTGTATGTTAGCTATAACACCATGCTTTAACAATTTAATCATATCATAATACTGTACCAAATATCATTGACAGAGGGATAGTGGATCTCTTGGTCTTGGACAGTCTACAAAACTCACTTGTAGACAGTGTGTTCTTATTATGCTCGAAGCTTTAGAATTTACACACGCAAATGATAAAATTTGAGTGAATGTTAGCTATAAATGCCAAATTCGCATATCCATGTGACACAAACACTTCAAATTTCAAATCAGTGATTTGAAACTTCACAGTCCATAAGATAAAGACAAACAAATGCACTCCTATTTCCTTCGATGAGAAAACAACACAATGAAGGTTAAATACATTATATAAATGAAAAGGGGGGAAACATGTAAACATAACCTAATCTTCTAACATGATAACTACCGTAATTTCCTAGTTTAATCTAAACTTTAAAAGACATAGTTTACTCAAATTCGAGTACTTGTATGCTTACCATTGGGATTCAAAGAACGAGAGTTACAATTAGGGTTCAAAAGCCAAGGAGGAGGAGTAATTCCATCGATAAGTAGTCTGGAAGCGAGTTGTTGAGTGTAGGAATCGGCTTGCTGCTGAACTTGTTGGATGATCCCATCCTTGCGCTCGAAGATTTGAAGGAACAACTTCTCCAACGTCGTCATCTTCACCGGCGGTGAACCAAATCCATCAACACACTCCCGTTTTCTGACTGAAGCGCCAATTTAAATTCAAATATTTGGATCCGTTCATTTCCTTTTTTTTCCTGCTTACACATGCATCTCACCTTTATTTATTAATTTTTTTGAAGTAAAATTTATTTATTTACTTTTTATAATTAAAAAAGTTACTTCAAATAAATAAATATTTCTTTGAAAAATATTATTTATTTAGTATAAAAATGGTGACGTCCCTCGACCCGGTGGGGAACTTGGCGCACCTGATCCGAACGGAGACGGGGATTATCCGCTAAAATGGGGCCAAGGTCGATGATCCCCGGTAGACTCATACTGGGGGCGGGGTCAGGGGATGTTACTCAAACCGGGGCCGGGGATGAGGCTCGGGATCTTTGGTAGACTCAAACTAACATGTATTTTTCATAGGGTTTGACGGATGACGGAATGTTAATCATCTACTCGCAGGGACCGGGGCAGGGGGCTAATACTAAAAACCGGGCTCGGGGATTACAAAACTCGTCCCATCGTCGCCCTGTTACCATGCCTAATTTAGTATAACAAATTAGAGTGAATTGCGGATTTGGTCCATGTGGCATGTACAAAAATACGATCATCGTCCCTAAATTCAAAAAAGTACGGATATGATCATATGGTTGTTATTGTCTTACGAGTTATGACTAAGGTGTCTCTCACATACGGTCGTTAAACAAATTCAATAATCTGGTTAATTAGATTATTAAAAGACAAAAATACCCATGTTTATCTGTCATGTTCTTGTTAGAAAACAATATATATATATATATATATATATACTAGAATTGTTTTTTTATGTTGTATATAATATTTTGGATATCAAGTCAAAATACAGTTGATATGTTTTGATGTTACTCGATATGGTTTTGGATATTACTGGTACGTGTGAAGTTATGTTTTTTTGGATTAAATTGAATTTTTTTTTTTGGGTTATTAATTATTATGATGTATTATTTTTTGTATTAAGGGGTGTTTGAGATTGCTTATTTGAAAAAACTTACGTTTTTCTATAAAAGTCCTTATAAATTTATTATATTTTGGAATGATTTAACTTCTTTCAAAAAAAATTATTACCGGTTTGACACCGACATAAGTTGTTTATCCAAATACTCAAAAGTGCTTATTATCGGTGTCACACCAAAATAAGTCAATAAATTGCTTTTTATAAGTAATATCAAACACCCCCTAAATTAAATTATTTTCGATTTTTGGTTTATTGAAAATATGTGAGATTTAAACATGTATGGTGTCTGAGATATTTGATTTAAAATAGCTTATATAAATGGGAAAAAAAAAATCCCCAACTGTATGGAATGGGATTGAGGTCCCGGCCCCATTCTCACACCTAATTATGGTTTGTGTTGAGGTTCTTATGAAATACATATAAGTTAGTTGAAGAAAGCTCTATCTGCAAGCCTGATAAAAAGTTTGATACAATTAGCGCTCAAGGGATTTCCATTTTCGGTTTACATTTTATCTGTATACTATCAATTAATTTATCAATTATACATATGTAGCAATAAGTTTACGATTAGCTGACGACAGCCATACATCATCTGTGCCCGCGAGCCCGAAGGCACCCCTCTCTTTCAAGAGGATTTGCGGCAATGTCAAGCCCTGACAAGGTTATTCGCTTAAAAAGGTATGCATGTGACTATTGATGTCAAAAAAAAAACGATACTAATCATCCTATCTCCCACAATACGACTCGTGAGACATGAGACTGTGTTGTCTTATGAGTCGTATGACAAGATATTGTGTTATCCCATTGACTATATGATATGGGAGTGTAACTGTGTTGTCCCATTAACCTGTAAGGCACTTGATCATGTGTTATAAGGACCACATCGTAAGAGCTTTTGCATGGTGATATTATGTTTGCTTCCAACTGTTTTGCCCAGGGATGGCAAAAAAACTCATGCTCACCCGATGAACCAAATACTCGAACCTGATTTGATTAGGGTTGTAAACGAACACCAACAAAGACTTGTTCATGTTCATTCGTTTAACTTAACCGAACGAACACGAACGGTAAACGAACGAATTTTTTTGTGTTCGTTCATTAACATGTAAAACGAACGTAAACAAACGAACATAAACAAACATGCTAAACGAACATAAATGAGAGGTCTAATGGAACATAAACGAACAAGTCTAGAAAATTAAAACTTAAATAAAGAAAGAAATTTAATATATAAACAAACATAAACGAACGTAAAATGAACGAACTTTCACGAACATAAATAAACGGATGAGATTCTTGTTCATGTTCGTTCATTTAACTAAATGATTTTTTTTTTGCTCATGTTCGTTCATTTGTTAAATAAATAAATATAAATGAACTTCCTGCATAACGATTCACAAACAGTCCGCTAAAATGTTCGGTTCACTTAGGGTGCGTTTGGTGCGCAGACAGGAATGGACAGGACAGGACGGGACAGGACAGGACAAGACAGGACAGCTGTTCAGCGTTTGGTAAGACAGGACAGGACATGATAGAACTGGTTAAAATGATCAATTTACCCCCAGTGATAATCAATGTAAACTCTCGAAATAAATCATAATACTTCATTAAAATCCCTAATAAGTACTTCAATTAATCAAGTTGTTGGCGAAATCGAGTACGAAACCACCATCAAAATATAATTCCTTAMTTGCATGAAATAAGAAGAAAGATATTTGAAGAGTTCCTTCAAATCGTGATGTAGTTGCTGTAAGAAGCAGCGGCGGCGGCGATCGGAGAAGCGGCGGCGGCGGCGATCGGAGAAGCGGCGGCGGCGGCGATCGGAGAAGCGGCGGCGGCGGCCATCGGGAGAAGCAGCAGCGGCGGCCATCGGAAGTCGCCGTCACCGGACGCCGGTTGAGCGGTGGAAGCGATGGAGGAGAGGAGAGGAGAGTGAAGGGGAAGAAGGAAGGTATGCGTATGAGGTTTTTGAGGGTAAAGTGGTAAAAAGTTTCTTGTTCTACTTAGTTCCATGGATAAAGGGTGGACAACCTTGTCCCACCCTTGTTCTAGTTTGKTCTAGTTAGTCCCACATAAAACCACACCAAACATAGGACAATTGTGTTCTGTCCTGTCCTGTCCCACCCTGTCCAACGTACCAAACGCACCCTTATAACCCTAAATTTGTTTGGTAATCCCCGGCCCCCGGTTTTTAGTAACAGCCATCTGCCCTGGCCAAACCTCATGAAGAATATCAGTTAGTTTGAGTCTACCGGGGATCTCGAACCCTGAGACCCGTTTTAGCAGGGAATCCCCGTCCTATTCGGGACAAATCACTATCCTTAAGGAAAGAACAAAATAATAAAGAACTGTAAATCACAAGGACTGAAACAACAATAAATTATAAATTGTAAGAATAAAAATAGAAATAAATTACAAACCAAATGGACTAAAACTGTAATTTCTAAACAGAGGGATGAAAATCGTAATTTTAACAAATCACAAGGACAAAAAACGTAATTTGCTTGAATGGGTCAAATTCACACCAACAGGCCCAAGATTGAGCAGCCCATGATAGAAAACCAAAAAGTACGGAATCGGTACTTCTTCCACACGGCTCACTGGCTTGGTTTTCACGTCGTAACACAAATCCTTCTCTACTGCCATGAACGATCGATTGAAGCTTCAAGGCACATGATCTAGTTGGATTACTTGGTAGGTTTTGCTTTTGAGTAGTATATCAACTTAATTTCAACAGTTTTAAATGAGTCATTGAAGTGAATCGATCAAAAACAAAAGTTCGTATTCACAGTTGCCAACATCGTGGTTTTCGCTTTGATTTCCTTGATTTTGTTCATTACTCTTAGTGTTTTTTGTTCCTCACACAACTATGTTCAAGTATGATGTATTTGGGATTTTGTTTGTAACTCAATCACGCCATAACAGGGAATTATAGTACACACCTGTTTAATTCATGTTTATGTACACAAGGATCAGAGACCAAAATCATCATTTGATTACTAAAATGAAACCAAAACCCCACCAATCAACTCTATATACTGTTCTAAACAATAATTTGGAACGAATCAAAGCTTAAGTATACAAGTCTTATATCAACTCGTTGCTTGAAAGTTAATGATAACCTTGAATTCAGTGTTGCTTCGTTCAACTCCTTTTTCCATTTTGGTTTTGGTGGCTGTTGAGTTGCAACTTAAATGATGATTTGGCTGACAATAACGGACATTGTATCAAAATCCACGGGGATTCCAAAATCCCTGGTGTTGGTATTCATAATTCATATGATATGGGGGATGACAACCAAGCCCCTTTGCTATCTATCTCTACAATTTTTCTCCCAAACAAAAAGTATATATTTCTTTTAGTCATTTAATTATGGGTTTGTGCATTTCCTTATACACTCTGTGCTTTATAACAAATTGGTTGTTACATATGTGGAGGTGAGGGATGCTCATGAAAGGGATGGTATGATACCAATGACCGGTGTTATTGGATCCAAACTTTTTATGTTTTTATTTTTAAATTTTTTGAGTATAATATTTATATACTGCAATTGCTCATGCATAGTCCTAACTTTTGGTGATGAATGGGGATATTCCCGAAACTGACAAACAAAGGGCGATATGCTATGGAATCGAGCCTGTTCCTGGAGCATGAACCCTTAACTTTTAGGGAGACTTTAGGGGCCGTTTACCTAAATGCTTACCCGGTAAGCGCTTACAAATAGGATTCAACACTATAATTTATTTTGATGCATAAGATTTTAGTATATCAAAAAATATCGAATACAACAATTTATTGGGTAAGCGCTTACCTGGGTAAGAGTTGACATCCTCACTTACAAGGTAAGACTCTCCATCCTTCTCGTCGCTCTTACCCGGTAAGATTCTTGGTCTTTTTCATGTTCATCCAATGAGGAAATTTATGCATTAAACACTTACCAAGTAAGTGTTTAGTAAACGACCCCTAAGCTTTACCTGTAAGTCAGATAGCACTGGTTCAAAAGACATTTCAATGAACTATGAAGTCAAGTTTTACCCCTATGTTTAATCTAAAAGAAAAAAACAAATATAAAAAGGATTACTTATGGTCAATAAGAGAAGGGAAAGCTAGGGTTTCGCTTCACATCTTCAATGAGATTTTGTTGTTGAGGATTTCCCCTAATATTGTAACATATAAAACTTTGATTGATGGGTATTTACCGGGAAGATGATACAAAGAAGCCTTGATTAAATATCTTTTCGTAAGTACTGATTTAGTTTATTCTTCTCTACTGTTGTAAATGTATGATTTTTCTTGTGTTAGATATCCAGAAACAGGAATTCGGAAATGGATGATGCGTTGCCTCTCGATAAGTTATTGTTAGAGTCCAAGAATGAAAACACAAAGTAAGTTTACTCAATTATGTTTACTGATTAATTTCGAAACGATAGTATATGATGTACTCAACTACTGCAAGTGTCATCTTCGATTTTAGGTGTTAGAACATTGCTGATCTGTCTAACCTGTGTAAAGTAATAGCTAACATGTTCTCTCCAAATGTCAAAGGCAATACAATTTATGTTGGTATAGACACAAGGATTGGGTGCATTATGGCATTGTTTCGTTACCATCATGTGATTATTTTTAGAAGATTCAATACAAAAGGTAAAAACTTGAGGTGTTCCTTCATCATCAATAAGAATCTGTTTTACTTGTGAGATACCGATGTTTGACAGCTACTACACCCTGCAAGAAGAAAAAATTAACTTTTACTGAGCCAAGAAAGAAAAAAACTCAAAATGATAATTACTATCTCTAGAGTAGGAAAAGAGAATTCCAACCCTAATGTTTCTTCTACTTAGGACCCTTGATAGATTTGATATCCTGATACTCATGGCAGTGGTGTACTTCAAATAACGTATGACACAAGAGATCCCCACCTCAGGCAGAACAACCAATTGTTTTAGCATAAAGAATTAAAGATATAGTGAATTTTTTTATAGGATTGTCCAACGCTGAATAATAGCAGTGTGAATTAATACTCACCCCTCCCACACTTTTGCAGGGGAAAAATCCACGTAGTTTTGGTATCAACTGGAAGCTTCAATCCTCCTACATTCATGCATTTACGGCTTTTTGGTATGTAGTTTGCTTGTTTTAGTCTCAAACTTGAAGGTTGCAGTAGAAATCCACTCTATGTGCAATGTGATTCTTCTAACCCTCTATATCTCCCTAGTTCACACCTCGTTTTCAGTTTTTCTTTCCGTCTACGTCAAATGCTGTATCATATGCATGGATTCCAAAGAGAAGTTTGCTAAACGTAGAATAAGTCACATTGGATTTTCTAGTGGGTAATGTGTACTATACATTGATAAGGGAATGGGTGAGATTGGATTGTTATACAGTATTGACGATCCACATTCTGGCTGTCAGTTTATGTGACTTGTTTTATTGTTGTGTTTGAGAAACGACACTAGGTAACCTCTAGAATCCGCCTACCAAGCACAAAAAGTTGCACAATTTCGCGTATAAAATCAGAAGAAATTACTGATTTCATGTCATACGTCTTAGAAGTGGATTACTCATTTGCTGTCATCTTTCAGCTCTTCAGTAACCTGACATAACACATGACTGCTATTTGATCATCTTCATCTGTAGGCCAAAGCCTAATGCATTGAAACCTGTGATATAAGAGGCTTTTACAAAGTTGGATTGATGTGTTTACAACTCCAGTAATGCCCCTTATTATAATTATAGATGCATGCTTATTGTCATATGTTTTCATTCTTAGAGTTGGCAAGAGATGCACTTAACTCGAGAGGTTTTCATGTTGTTGGAGGTTATATGTCACCTGTAAATGATGCCTACCAGAAAAAGGTATGTGGCTTCCTGTAGCTTTACATCATTCATGCCAGATAACAAAGTTGAAGACATTTAGGGTGCGTTTGGTATCCAGACAGGCATAACAGGACGGAATAGGACATGACAACTGTTCAACATTTGGTAAGAAAAAACTGGACAAGACAGAACAAATAAAATGGTCAATTTACCCTTAAGGAATTGTTTGTATATTGTATGGATTTTGATTAATTTATGTAATTTACTGAATTAGAAAAAAATTGATATTTTTATAAGGAAATATATCATTAGAAAGTTTTCGTCAAGACGATTAAACCAAAATAAAAAGTTTATCTAGTTTCCAGTTTTTATTTTATACATTTTTTATTATTTTGTTATTATTATTAATATTTAATAAATTACATAAATTAACTGAAATATAAAAACCGTATAAAAATAATATTTTGAGAAGTTTATAGCGCATAAAATACAATAAACAAAATTTAAACAATAAATAAAATGTGAGGGGGGGGGGAAGGGGGGCATATTTGATATTTTGGAAGAAACCTAGGTTTTGTTTTGAAGTTATATTGGTAAAATATAGATTTGTTCCACCCTGTTCCATGGGGGTGCGGGTGGGGGTGGAACACTCCTGTTCCACTTTGTTTCATTTTGTCCACATAGAACTCTTTGCCAAACGTGGAACACTGGTGTCTATTCTGCTTTGTCTTGTCCAGTGTACCAAACACACCCTTATGGTTATGGGTCAAGCCGACATGTAGAGGGTTAGCCCTGACGTATTGTCTTTAGGTTCGCCTGTTACCACAAGCATGGGCCCTGCATTGGTTGAAAAAGAACAGAAAATCTATTTCCCCCTTGTTGAATTTGATCATAGTGTCCACATAAAATTAGATTGAATTTTTTTCTTTAGGTGATGATTAGTACAAGTGTCAATAGTGCCTACATGTATCTATAATGGCCAATGCGACTCCTAGCAGTTGGTTTGTGGGCTCTAGTGTCCAGTCACGTGCAATTGAAGTGAAAAGTTCCTTTAAAGTTCAAGTGATACTGGGTGATAATTATTTCAAATGGCTTTATTTTAGGGAGATTTTTTGCTATAATTTGTCCTTGGCCTTCTATTGTTTTTTTCTTTTAGCAAGTTCATAGTTTTGCTGCATTCTGCATTAATATCTATGAACCTGATGATGGCATGTTAAGATGAACTTGTGGTTGCACTTATTTCTGTGTGCAATAAACAATAACGAAGAACTTGCATAATTATTCATTTAATATCTTTCTGAGACAAGATTCTAAATGTTTGCAGTGCAGGAGCTGAAACTTTTATTTTTGTGCAGGGTCTCATACCAGCTGAACATCGCATTGCAATGTGCCAACTAGCTTGCAAAAGTTCCGAGCTCATAATGGTGGATACTTGGGAGGTTAGTTTCTTTCTCCCTCTCTCATTGACTATGCCCTCTCAGATCGACGTAAACAACTCGAGCAAAGATGCAAGGAATTTCTGGAATTCATTATTTTTCCTGTTACCCTTTGCTATTCCAGAAAACAGGTTCCTAAGCAGAGATTTTTAACACAAAATTTTCGTCCCGATGGCACTAACTGGTTGTATTTTTTTGGGTGTGGTGCATCATGACTGTCGTAAAGATGAATTGTTGATGGTAAAAGTGGAAGTTCATGTGATTTTACAGTGTAGTTGATCGCTTTGGAATGTACTTTTACAACTAAAACGAATTAAAAGTAGATTATTTCCCTTTTTATTCTAACATATGTAGCTTTGATTCTGTTTCATTTAGATGGACCTCTGCATTGTATAGATCCCCTGCTTATTTCTTCTGTATTTATTGATGCAGAACTGTTTATCTATTTTAGGCAAAGCAAAGTTCTTTTCAACGCTCATTGACTGTGCTATCAAGAATCAGGAGCTTCTTTTGCGATAATGGGCTGATACCTAGTGGTATGGTCCACATCAGTCAGTTATATAACATGTAGCATGCTAGATCTACATGTTCCTTCAGTTGCCAAAATAGCTGAATGACTTTTCTGTGTTATTTAAGTTGCAGTTATATCTTCTCTACTATTAGTTCTCAATCATTTGCCTTTCTTCAATCTACATGGATATTTCCACCTTACAAAACTTCATGTTCAGGTTTTATCATCCATACTTCTTTTCCCCAAAAGGAGATTCTGTAAAAAGATGAGTTTTAAAGAGTCAAATGTTCCCTGATTTAGGAGTAAAAGCCAATTATTTACTTCAAGGAGTATGCAGCCTTTTTTAAGCTAGGTAAAATGGTAAATTGACAGTATATATAGTTAAGAAGTAGTAAGGGCTTGTTTGTTAGAAACTTAACGAGCTTAATGAGATTCATGGCTTATTCGGTCAGCTATACATGACTGTTTGGTAGCGGCTTGATGATATCTAAAGTGGCTTATTCAATAAGCTTCTAGGGAGAGTTTTATGCAGAAAGCCAAGTTTTTTCGAAACTTGCCCCTCCCAAATAAAAAACATGCTTCTTCCATCTATAAAAACCCTTCCAAACAAAAAAATTCTCAATCTATACAGACAAATTAATCTACACAAACAACTTTATCCATACATGACTTAATGAAAATCAACCAAACAACCTCTAATTGTTTCTTATAAAAAAGACAGGCTGACGATGGAAAGTGTATTTCTTTCTTATTCTCTTACCAAATACAAATATTGATGAGACACATGATCTATTACTTGTTTTTTCCCCAGTTAGTTATTGAACTATGACAATTAAGGCCATGTTCAGCAATAATTAAGTTAGCTAACTTTGTGAGCTTATTGAATAAACCCTGTTTGGTTAGCCATAAGCTTGCTTTTTAAAGTGCTAGTATATGTAGCATTTCAATAAGCTCCATGGGTTTTTCTATTTATATTCTAATTACACCCCTTGTTTATTTTTTATTAACTTTTTACACGTCCTTTTAGATCAATTTAAGATCATATTACGTTGCTATCTAGCTTATCAACCAGTTCTTTCCAGACATAACTAGCTATCATCCAACAGCTAGTTCATTATCTAGTTTGCCAAACATAGCCAAGTGTACCCATTTGTGACAATTTTACCCTTGTTGAAAGTTTTGTCTTTTTTTGCTTACTACTAATCAGCTAGAAATGGGTAGACAAAACTTAAAGTGCAACGGACAGTAATTTTGTTTTGTGTAATTTTAGCATCCCTTAAGGTCATGCTTGTTTGTGGCTCCGATCTACTCGAATCATTTGGCATTCCTGGAGCTTGGATACCCGAGCAGGTAAATTCACAATTGATTACATCTTTTTTGGTGGTATTACACAAAAGATTGAATCTGTGATTCCCACAACTTTCTGCCACTGATGGCATTTTGTGCAACTATGTAAAACCAGGAAAGAAGCTCATTTTACTGTTTGAGAACATGAATTTATGATCTTTTTAATCGACTGCGAATGGCATCTTATCATTTTAGGTCAGAAGTATATGCAGAGATTATGGCATAGTCTGCATCCGCAGGGAAGGTCAAGACATTAAGAAAATCATCTCACGTGATGACATCTTGACGGAATATAAGGTAACCAACCCACATTTTTTCACAACTAACTTCTAGTGCAAAAACTTGTTAGATGCAAACTCTACTTGACGACAATCGTTTGCTATTTTATTATAGAGCTGCTCTACTCTTTGGGGTAGGGGACAACTCCAGTTAACATCCCCCCAAAGATCCATCTTTGGCCTCAGGGTAGGATATACTGGGTTTGCTTATCTATTTGGTTTGATACGAGATTACGTGTGTTCTCTTTTTCTAGCAGATTCACTTACATAATCTCTTAAATCCAAACATCAACTTTTTTTTCCTAGCATATTTACCAAAACAAACAATCCCAATGTATCTCATTCGGGGTGGGATGTACACATACCTTATCTCCACCCTAAGGAGTAGAGCGAGTATTTCCCAAACATCTAGGTTTTTTCCTAGCATATTTGCCAAACCAAACGATCCTAGTATATTCACACGGCGGTGGGGTCCTGCCGTCCTGGCGGTTTGATGTATGATCTCTATCTTGAAGAGTAGAGCGGCAGTTTCCATTAAGACCTCTGTTCTGTGAAAAGCTTGCCAATCTTGTATACCTTTTATCATATCATTGCCCTCTTTGTGAATGATGCAGAGTAACATTGAAGTGGTGGATGAATTGGTACCGAACCGCATCAGTTCAACTCTAATAAGGTAGCCATCAGATTAACTGTACTTTTATTTTTTGCCTGTAACATGAAAAGCTTAATTGTGTTTGTTTATGTAATCACAGAGATTGCATTTCACGGGGTTTATCGGTGAAATACTTGACATCGGATGACGTTATTGATTACATTAAACGACACCAACTGTACACAAACCCCACAAATTGACAACGGGGAAGCTTGGTAGCGTATCGTATTCCTTGGGTACATCAAATAACACCAATCCGGGGTATCCATTTCGTCGTAAACTTCAACGGGGTTTTAGATATGTGAACACAAATGTAGCCCTTGTAGTTGGCTTTTATTTTTCTATTTGAATCATCATTGTCCCCAATAAGGATCGTTTATTAAATACTTACCGGATCAATTACCTTATCAGATTAATATGGCAAAGGCTGAGAGTCTTACCTGTTAAGAGGCAAAACAAGGAACAAGAGTTTTACCTGGTAAGTGAAGGTGACAACTTTTACTGGTAAGTACTTACCAGGTAAACCAAAGGGCCTTTGGCCTAGTGGTATGTGAGTCCTTTGGCTTCTTAGGAGGCGAAATGTTCAAACCTCACCAAAAGTGAGGAGGGTGTATGAGTTTATTTGTTTTATTTGTTGTATATCAATATTGTACACTTCAAAAAAAGTATTTACGGTTAAGATTGTCACATACGATGACATTTTGACAGCTAATAATTTTACCCGGTAAAGTTAGTGAGATGAAAGTATCGGCAACCCGGTAAACATTTTGGTAAAGGACCCCAAACATCCATCTCGTATCAAAATTCTATTGGGCATGTTTGAGCTACTTAATTTTTCTTTTTTTTTTGTTTGTAAATTACGTTTTTCATCTTACGGTTTGTTAAAGATTACGATTTTGGTCTATATGGTTTGTAATTCATCATTGATTTATTGTATTGTCCATATTCGATTTTATGGTATGGGCGGACCTTTTATAGTAGGATATGATGGCACGAGTCACCGTTTTCGAAGGGTGTCATTGTATTGATTTGTTTGGTGTCACTATATAGTTTTTGAAAGTGAAATGTTGGCGCAAGACTTTAATGGCAGAAATGATAAACGTTTATGCCTTTGTACAAAAAAATTGGTGGATTTGTTATTTTTTAGCTTAAATTTTGGTGTCATTTTATATACATGTGTTTTTTAAAAGACGTTTTTTAGTATATAATATTTATATACGACAAATAGAACAAATAAACTCGCAGACCCTCTTCACCTTTGATGAGGTTTGAATCATGAATTCCTGAGAGTCCAAAAACTCACATACCGCTAGGCCAAAAGTCATTTGGTAAAAAAAAAAGACATGTTAATAGGGCATGGACATGAGTATCTTTTATGCAGAGTCGGTATGGATAAAAAACCAACCAATAAATCTATAGTAATTTTGTGAAAATTTTATTTGATATTATTTTATAATCAAATACTGCCACCACTTAAAAAAGTTATTGATTCACTTTTGGCTTGCTTTAATTGAAACTGGATTTATGATAAAACCGAACCAATTCATATTGATACAAGTTTTAGTTCCATTATTTTGACTTTTACTATTCTGTGCGATGTTTGGCTAGCTCGGAACTAAGGGGTTGTTTCTTTATAATATTTCTATTAAGAGACAACCTCTGAATCGTTAATAGATGAATTTTGTTTGCCAACAAAAAATGTCTTTTAATAGTTCTAAAACCCTCTACATGATTTTGTATACTGGGCCCACTCTAATTTCATTAACAATTATCAAACAATTCTATTTCATTTTGCACTATATAATAAGAGCTTATTAATCATTCTGACAACTTAATCCTTTTGCACCAAATCATTCAACAAATGTCAACATAACCTTTAAAAATAGTTATTTGAACCGGATTGATTAAGGTCGGAATAAATTTACAATTTTAAGTTGATATTCGGGAGTTTTGAATAATTGTATACACTAAATATTTATATAAATTTTTAAACAAATAATAAAATAATAAACGATAATTAAAATGAGTAAATTGAATGAAAAAATAACGTAAATTCTTATTTTGGATAACACACTTTTAAAATTTTCATTTTGGTACCTACGATGTAAAATTTTAAACTTTTTAAGTACCCGGATAACAGATTGAAGACTAATTTTAGATTAAAAAAAGTTTAACTTTAGATTAAAAAAAATTCATGTTAACAAATAATACTAAGTTGGATACCACATCAATATGATAATCGGTTAATGCCTCAACTAACTTATCTGATACTTTAATGTTTAAAACTTTATATCTTATATACAAAAATAAAAGTTTAGAAATATGTTGCCCAAAATAAAAATTAAGTTAAAATACGTTATGTAATTTATCCAATTAAAAAAAACAAAAAGTTGATTAATAATATATAAAAATAATTTTGAAAAATAAACAGACCGATCAAAACGACACAAAGAGCATTTTACACACGTAATAAATTTTAGGGTTTTAGTGTCAAAGTCTCTGTCGATCCATTTCTTTCACGCAAGCATATTGTGTTCAGGTTCATGGAGTTTCTGGTAAGCTCTTCTAATCTCCATCTCTGAAATCTACCTTCTATGAATTTCATGTTAATTTTTCATCTTCTTTTATTGATAACCTCGTCATAGAATACGAGTTTGTTAGAATATAGAAGGGAAACAAAGCCCTAGGAAACTTAGGAGTTGGAAATCATGGATCAAAACGAATCCCATGGCGGTGGAGATGCAAACGAGCAATTCCATCAGAACGAAGCTATTTCTGCGGTTGTCGATGAGGGTTTTCTAGGGGAAGATGATGATGATTACGAAGATCTTTATAACGATGTTAATGTTGGCGAGGGTTTTCTTCAATCTCTTCGGAAGAACGAGGATTTAGGGTTTAAGAACGAGGAAGAAGTTGAGAAGAATAAGTCGGAGCCGGTACCTCAGCCGGTGCAGCATCCACAAGCGGTGGATGATGGCGCTGTTGGAGGTGGTGGTGAGAGCAAGTTTGAGAGCAACGATGGTGTTTCTAGTAGAGTAGAGGCGAATTCGAATGTTGGGTTAGGAGTAAATGAAATGGGAGGGATGGGATCTGGTGGACCAGTGGGTGGTGGGCTTAGAGTTGAATTAGGGCAGTCCTTGGCTAAAGTAGGTGAAGTAGAAAGTCGGACTGTGAGTAACAACGGCATGCCGAACATAGGGATGGGACAACAACAGCCTCATCATGTTGGGACTGTGGGGAGTACAGGAAATATGGGGAGTTTAGGGAATGCTGGTGGTGATAGTTTAGTTGGACAAGGCAGTGGGAACGTCAATGGTTCCGGAGGAAATGTTTTTGGTAATGGTGGTGGTGGTGGGGGAATGAGCATGGGTGGTGGAGGTGGCGGCGGTGTTGGTGGTGGGGGTGCAGGTGGAGGAACAATTCTCTTTGTGGGAGATTTACATTGGTGGACAACTGATGCTGAGCTTGAGTTGGAACTTTGCAAGTATGGGCATGTGAAGGAGGTGAAATTCTTTGATGAGAAGGCTAGCGGAAAATCAAAAGGTTACTGCCAAGTTGAGTTTTATGATCCTTCTGCTGCTACATCTTGCAAGGAGGGAATGAATGGGCATGTGTTCAATGGTCGTCCCTGTGTTGTTGCATATGCTTCACCTTATAGCGTAAAAAGAATGGGAGAAGCACAGGTGAATAGAAACCAGCAAATGGCTCAGTCTTCCGTGTCTCAAGCCAAGAGGGGCCCTGGAGATGCTCCTGCTAAACCAGCGGGTAACAATATGTCTGCTGGTGGGAATTTCCAAGGTAGTGGTGGGAATTATCAAGGTGGGGGCGACAACAGAGGGTTTGGAAGAGGAAACTGGGGTAGAGGTAATGCTCAAGGGATGGGAGGTCGGGGGCCAGGTAGGGGTGGTGGAATGGGTGGACGTGGTGGGATGGGCGGGCGTGGTATGATGGGGAATGGTGGAAATGCATTCGGCCAGGGTATGGGTGGACCGCCACCTATGTTGCATCCCCAGTCGATGATGGGTCAGGGGTTTGATCCTTCTTTTGGAGGCCCAATGGGCCGAATGGGAAGTTATGGAGGTTTTCCTGGTGGTCCAACGCCACCCTTTTCAGGTATGCTGCCTTCCTTTCCGCCTGTCGGTAATGTAGGCTTGCCTGGATTGGCTCCACATGTGAACCCGGCGTTTTTTGGGAGAGGGATGCCCATGAATGGGATGGGTATGATGCCAACAGGTGGTGTTGATGGACCCAACATGGGAATGTGGTCAGATCCTAATATGCCTGGATGGGCTGGTGATGAGCATGGTGGCAGAGTAGGGGAGTCCAGTTACGGAGAAGAAGCCGTGTCTGATCAGCAATATGGAGAAGGTAGCCATGATAGAGGAGCTTGGCCGAATGCTGCAAAGGAAAAAGATAGAGGGGTAGAGAGGGACTGGTCTGGGACTTCTGATAGAAGAATTAGAGATGATAGAGAACCTGGGTATGAGAGGGATGTGCCAAGAGAAAAAGATGCGGTTCATGAAGAAGAGTGGCCTGAAAGAAGGCATCGAGATGAGAGGGAAGGTGGAAGAGATCGAGAAAGGGACCGGGACCGGGACCGGGACCGTGAGCGTGATCGTGAAAGATCTCGTGACCGCGAACGTGAAAGATCTCGAGATCGTGAGCGTGATCGTGACAGGGAACGTGGCAGGGACCGTCATAGGGATGAAAGGGACAGATATGCTGATCATCACAAATATAGGGAAGTTGAACCAGAATATGATGATGAGTGGGATCGGGGGCGGTCATCACGAACCCATGGAAAATCAAGATTGTCTCAAGAGGATGAGCAAAGGTCTACTAGATCTAGGGATGCCGAATATGGGAAGAGGCGGCGTGTAACTGCAGAATAACATTGTGCGGCGCTGGTTCATTTTACAAGTAATCACATCCAGAAATCATAAGCTCAAGCTTCTTTATTTGTGGTTTTGTCGCTCTCAGGTGGACTCTCTCTGAACTTACTGACAATGGTTCTCTATATCAAGTTGACGAACAAGGTTTTCTAATGGTAAGATACCATCTCTGCATTGTACATGCTAATGTTACAAACTTGCTGATAGGTTTTGAAACTTCTCTCTTTATTTTATGCTTTCCTTGCATGATGAATATGGTTTTTTATATGTTCACTTGTCATGGTGTCTTATGTGTAGATGCTAATGTATTATCCTGTTTTTAGGGATCTTAGTTTTGTGTTCTTTGGCATGTTCTTGAGTGTACATGGAACTAGGAAAGTGACATTTAATGGTTCCAAGCTTGCTAGTACATTTGCTCATAGTGTGGTAACTACATGAACTCTTGTCGTTTTGAGCCTACATTAATCCTTAAAACATCTAGTGACTACATATATAGTAATTTTTACTAGGCCGGTGGATATGGGAGGTCAGAAAGCCAATAGATAGGCTAGCAACACCCTAAGATGGTTAGGAGTTGATCTTGCCTTTCCAGTACTGTATGTTGAGTGGTTTAGTGTTTCATTGACTTTTTAATCTATTTCCTTCATTTGTGTTCTAACTGCTGTAACTGTTTACTGTCTTTAATGCATGTTTGTTCAAAATCATTTGCATCTTTTTTCATTTTCTCATGCTCTTCTGTTTCTTTTTATTTTCTTCAAACTTCCAAAATTTCGACAAAATTTCTGTTACTCCCATGATTTTCCACACCTTTTGCAAGTCGTGGGTGTACATGGAAACAACCTCTCTACCCCATTAGAGAGGTGGGATATGTTGGGGACGTATACATTTGGTTTGGTATACATGGTAACACTTCTCTTTGAGGAACACTTCTCAAGGCCCTAAATTGTGTTATTTGGTTTATTTGCCTGTGTGCTTGGAGCCTTGTCTAGTAAGTTTTAAGGACATGTACTGACATATTTGGTTACCTTCTCCAAACTTCTTGCCGTGGATTGGGGGTACCAAGAAACCGAACTTATAACACGAAGTTAGTGATCTTAAGGGTCCTGCATGTTAGCACTCTTCTGAATTTGCAATGAAAATTCTGGTATATATATATATATATATATATATATATTATAACATGAAGTTAGTAATTTTTAAGGGTCCAGCATGTTAGCACTTTTCTGAATTTGAAATGAAAATTGATGTGTGTATATATATGTCTCTGAGAAACATTGCTACTGAAGCTTGAAAGGGTTTCTCTCTTTTTTATGAGGGCATAAGACTAGAGTACTAGACTGGACAAGAATAACAGAAATAGGTTTACATGTTTGTTCAAAATGATATTATATGGTTTGTTCTGTGAAATGAATCATCTATGGAGATTAGCAGATACCAGTAAATCCTACATTGCCATACGATAAGGTTGTATAATTAAAGCGTGTTCATCCTCGAAATTTTGAAATCCTAACTTGGAAGCCATTGTCCATAATGTTGTTTTACCACTGAAGGTTCTATAGACGTGTTCGTTTATTACTTCTGGGTATTATGTATAAATCTACTTTTAGCTCAACGAATAAAACATGATAGCACATAACACATCAAAGAAAAAGGAATACTTATTACTGGAATTATATATGAACATTTTCACACTTCAAACAGAAACAACCCCTCTACTGTTAGTGGAGGTCAGTTCGGCATCTATGCTGATACAGCAGGCAGGACTGTCATTAAAATAGCGGCGGTCCGAGAATTGCAATTCATATAATAATTAGAATTATATATATATATATATATATATATATATATAAAATTCATAACTCAACCTATTATATGTATTCTAAAACCATAAACATAAACTTAAACAGGTCAAGTTTCACACAAACAGCTCACTAAGTCATTGACTTTGAAGTCTTAATTATGTTGGACTAAAATAAAACTCAGGCCAGGTCCAAACTCCGATATAAAAGCCCACAAAATAGTTGTTTAACATCAAAACATTCTATTCTTCAACTACCTTATAAGTGGATGCTACTTAATGTTCAAAATGCAGTCATTTAGCGGTCAATAGCGCCGCTAATCGTGGGACCGCTATCTGACCCCAGCTATTTGCCCCATGACCGCTAACCGCTGTAGCGCTGCAATAGAACCACTATAACGGCGCTATTAACAGCATACTTTGTGTACATCTTATTCTTACCCTCCCCATACCCCACCTCCAGGTGGGATATACTGGATTTGTTTTGTTTGATTTTTTTTAGAGTGAGGTAGGGGGGGAACCCCAAAAATAAAAACCAAGGAACACTCTAGTAACACTGTTTATCTGTATGGTATACACATGTGCGTACAAGTAATTGAAGATGTTTCTTGGTTTTTATGCACCTATGCATGTGTATGCACATGTGCAAACAGTACAGATGAACGGTTAACAAAGTGTTCTTTAATTTTTCATTTTTTTGCGGTTTTCCGTACCCTTGATTTATATATGAACATTTTTCATCTTACGTGATAATCTTGTTGTGCCGGTTCTGATAATCTGTGCATTGGTAGGTCTGATAGGGAACGAAAGGTGTTCAGAGTGGAGGCTTTGCTTTTGAGATGCGGAAGAGCCTTTGGGGCTTGGGCTACGGATTTACATTCCTCCTTGCTGATGATTTACAAGTGAAACTATTGTTAGTTGTTAAGAGTTTGTTTGGAATTGCTGTTTATGTACTTGAAACTATGTTGTGGTGGATTAACACATATAGACTTAACTACTGTGTTTGAATGTGAGATCCATGTATTAGGATTTTTTCTACTTTTTATGTGTTGGGAGGATTGACTACTATGCCTCCTTTCTTTTTGGTTTTTAGTTGTCGTTACGCGTATTTTTTTGTTGTATGTATCTTTTTATCTTGTATTCTCTTGCTGTATATGTATAAGTATCTGTATGTATATATCGTGTTGCCGTTTGTGGCGTGTAGGTCGGTAGAGTTGAGACTAACTGCTTGAAATTGTAGATATGTTCGTCGGATCCTTGAGTTGTACATTTGATAGACTGTAGTTCTTGGTTTTAAATGATCAAGTGATTGTTGGGTTATTCTTTTGGCTGACTTCCCTATGTTCTATTTGAATGGTTTTGTGTTGTCTTAATTCAAATTCATTCGAAAAAGTTAGGGACCGTTTACCACCAACATCACTACTCTTACCTTATATGGTAACATTTTTTTTTTTTTTTTTTTTTTTTTTTTTTTTTGTAAGGGTGTCCGGGCCAACGCCCGACTAATCCCCGGCAATTTTGGAGGCTAAACATGGCCCCACTTAAATGTCGCCAACACTCCCCTCCCAGGGCTCGAACTTGGGTTCATGACTATGCCATGCCCAAGCCTTTACCACTAGGCTGGAAGGTCTTTGACCTTATATGGTAACATTCTCGGTAAGGGTGGACCTATGAACGCCCAACAGGGTCGATGTATGCTCAATCAACCAGTTTTTGCGAGCAGAATTTTTTTTAGTATGAAAGTTGAACGTACTAAACTTTTGAGGGTGTTCCTGGGTATTATTAGAATATTCAAGAAACTTCACCCAAAAACTGAATGAGAACCACAAAAGCGAAAAAGAGTTCTTTAAAATCAACTAAAAAAACTTAAAAACCTCGAAACGGTGGAATTCAGCTAAACACACATTGGACATTTTGCGAGTCTTTGATCCACCTTAAATGTATAGCGGCTCGACAAAAATCCTAGGTCCGCTGATTCTTAGCCATCAAATTTAGTAGTTGGTAAGCATCTCTCTTCCCAGGTAAATACCAACCAGATAAGAGTCTTCTTCCTAATTTACCAGGATTGTCGGTATTTATCATGTCCACTCAATATAAGGTAGATGACACCATCTATAACACAAAAAACATCATATACTCGCAATCCATTACCATTTACTATAATCATAAAACATTTGTAAGAGTTGACCACATAGATGTAGCGGAATAACCATATGTCCTGACGTGTACAAGACCACAACAATTTTGGTCACATGTCTTACGGTCACAATTTATTGAAATTAGTCTGGGACTGATGTCTTACGGTCATAATTTGTTAGAATCAGTCTGGACATAATCTAAACATCCTTTAAAAAGTAAGACACATAAAACACATACAATACAACACAAGCATGTGAGTCTAAAATATAGAAATGGGTCAAATTATAAGATCCATGAAAACAACAGACAGACAGACAAATTCCCCTATAATTTATATTCATGTCATGTATTATGCATAACAAGCAGCAATACCACTGCACTTCTACTCTTCTTCTTCTTCTACTACTTCTACTACTGCAATTAAGCTAACATTAACTTACATCCTTAAATCTTATGCTTACACCAAAAACCAACAAACAAAACTAAACAAAACCCCAACCCAATCATGCCTCCACCCCTTTCCCAGATGCTGCTGCTTTTCCAGGTTCCTCTTCATCCTCCTCGTCTGCTTCATCCGCTAGTTTTGTCAGCTCGTCCTGGATCATGAACTTAATCGACGCCTTTCTTGACGTCAGATCTGTACTGAATCGCTTGGCTGAAAAAACCAACATTACAAATACAAAATGTTACATAAACCCGACGCACTATGGGTCTGTTTGTTAACAGCTTAATGAGCTGGACTCGCAGCTTATTTGGTCAGTTGTATATGACTGTTTGGTAGTTAGCTTAATGATATATAAAGTGGTTTATTCACTAAGCTTCTAGGGGGGAGCTTTATGCAGAAAGGCAAGCTATTTTAGAACCATATCCCTCCCAACTAAAAAACACGTTACGTTCATCTATGAAAAAACCCTCCAAAACAAAAACCTTCCCGATCTGTACAAACAAATGAATCCACATAGACAGCTTTATCCAAACAAGACTTTAACAATATCCATTATGTGATGTGAGGGGGCACTTTGGCCTTTTTACACATTTCCATATATTTCTTTTAAAAATTAAACATTATGATCCAACTGTTCCCTAATTAAGAATGTAGAGTGCTTACCAAGCTGCTTGAGAATATCGGTAAAGGTTGCCTGCAAAACAGAAGAAAAATAATACAAGTACGTCAGTACTTGCCAACATCAAATGTTGAGCGACCACAACCAAACTACTCCCTCCGTCCTAAAATAAGTGTCCACATTTCTATTTTAATTTGTTCCATAATAAGTGTCTAATTTCCAATTCTACCCTTGATTATGAGATGAAGTAAATCGTTATCCCCCTATTATTAAGGGTGAAACTGTCATTTAGTTAATTAAAAGGTATAATAATTACATGTTTATAATATTTTACGCCTTTTTTATTGTGGACATTTATGTTGGAACCGAGACAGACAGTAATAGCTACTTGCTGTTAATCAAGATTCAAGAGGCATGAAGCCAAAAGAGAATGATGCATTGCAAGGAGATCAAAATTTAATGACATCAATATGCAAAACTACTAAAAGAAAGATAAATGCTGGATCGTATTACGTCCCAACAAAGTGGAATCCTGAGAAAATTCAAGGATGACTAATTGCGGAAACTAATGAATGCCGTGGAAAAGATTTATGTTAAGAACCGTGACCAATCTTGTTTCGATGCAACAATTGAAAAGTATTAGTAACGGATTCTCACCGTATTGAAGTCTACTTCTTTAAGGATCTCACATATTGCGGCTCTGAGGTCATCGTCACTTAGCTTCTGCTTTTCTGATTTGGGTTTCTCTTTCTCTTTCACGGTCTTTTTCCCTTTGTTAGATAGGTAGTCATAAAGGTAAAAAGAATCAGTATATTATATTTTCTTTTGGAGTAAAGCAGAACAACCTGAAATACAACTTTAATTGACCGCAAAGCAAATAATATTATGGTAACGGAAAAAAAGAGAAACAACTCCTACCAGTTTTCTCTTTGGAAGCAGGTTTCTTTGGAGTTACAGGCTTCTCGTCAACTGCATCTTTCTTCTTCTTTCTTGAGAAAGTCTTCGGAACAGGTTCAGTTTGGTCCTTATCTTTCGAACCACTTGTAGATGATTTGGCTGGTGGTGTCTTCTTTTGAGGGGAACTAGAAGTCTTTTTTGGTGTAACTACTTTCTTTGGTTTAGGTTTCACAGCAGGTTCCTTTTTCGAAGATGATTTTTTTGAACCTCGTTTCCGCTTCTTACTGTCTTCTTCAGACTCGGGATCAGGTTCAGACACTTGTTCTTCACTTGCAGTATCGTCAGACTTTTCTGGAGCACCGTTCACATTTTGAGGTTCTCCTTCCTCATCATCTTCCTCTTCGTGCTCTTCCTCTGAATCTTCTGTTTCAGGTGGACTCTTCTTGTTATCCTCTTCAGATGGGGATTTACTTTTCTGCTTCTGCAGAAACAAACGGAAGGAACATGCCTTTAGAGTTGATGAACAAAGATAGAATATCAAAAGGAAACCCATAAAAATAATACTCCTTCAGTCCCAAAATAAACGTCATATTTCTACTTTAGTTTGTCCCAAATAAATGTCATATTTCTACTTTAGTTTGTCCCAAGAATAAGTGTCAACTTTCAAAAGTAAGTGCATTACTCCCTCTATTACCAGGGGTAAAATTGTCATTTAGTTAATTAAAAAATATAATAGTAACACATTTCTAAAACTTTGTGTTTTTCATTGTGGACATTTATTAAACTAATCTTTCCATATCTTGCAAATATCACACTGAATTAATGTGACAAGATATCAGATTCCAAGTATTAAAAATCATCTCTCTCCTGGTTCTATATTGAGGAAATACATTTTTCGGTATTTTGCTCTCTTGTACTTTTAAGGAAGAGGGAGATACCTTAGACGAGCTTTTTGAAGGTGTAGCCCCAGAGGTCGGTGAGCCTTTCTTGCTCGGCCTCTTGCGTTTTTTGCCTTTGCTCGACTGAATATCATGTAAAATGAAAGATAAGTTGCAACATTAAGAAATATAATGGTACAAAGTGCAGCTTAAGAAATGCAAACCTGTTCTTTCTCAGCGAGCAACTCACTAGTTGTGGCATGAGGAACCAACATAAAATCTATCAGCTTTATGACTATATCTTCCTGTTTGAAGAACAGACATGATGTCATACTATGTTCACCAGAAAAATCTAAACCATTCATGAATCTATGCTTGAGAAAAGATCTTAGCGACCGATATATCCTACATATGATGTTTGTGATTTGCAAGACAAAGTAAATAGGAATAACGTATTTGAGAAAGGTGTTGATGTTTAAGACAATTATATGAAGTATCAGTCTGCTAGGAGTGGCGCAAAATCCACAGTAGCAAACGTGTCATTGTTTTTCTAACACTATTATGCCTCTTCTAAGAATTGCATCAACAGCTATTTGATAAAGAATCCATAAAAGAACCACACAGTACGTAAACAAACCTTCTTTGCGGTAGCTCTGCTTACTGGCATGTCAAGCAAATCGCAGAACTCCAAAAGCTTCTCTTTATTAGACTTATCAAGCTTTTCTTTCACTTTCAGTTTTTGTTTTTCCTGCAACGATAATAAATACTTGTTACTAAAACTCACAGCAACATTCATCAACATAACACGACCGTTACATGGATTCATATCAACATTAGCTTTTGAATAGATGGATCGTGCATATGTATTGAAACAATACAGCGATACACATGTTATTATGTCTGGACTGCATGGATTTGGATACTCATCAATCTACAATTGTCCATAAAGATTAAAAAAGGCCTCTTATCTCATTGTTGCATTTATTCTTCTTTTGTTATTTCTCTACAGAACTGTCATAGATACACTTCCTCCGCACGACCAATCACACAGAAATTGAAGGATTCTAATCCTTGTAATTCCTCCGGGCGTCTACATATCACACATCTACTACATTTGAGCTTGATCTTTCTAATTCGCTATCATTCCCCAACATAGTCAAAGATAAGAAAAGTCTAAATTTTCTTTTGGAAATATATATTTAGAATTAATGGTGAGTATAAATTATAATTATAACATTTTTGAATTTTTGACCTACTTGCACCAATTTTTATTTCATTTGAACTTTGAAGAATCATTAAATCAGCAGTTTTGCATTTGCAACGCAGCTGCTGTGTATTAGTTTGGTCTTTGAGTTCTATCTTGTTTCAAGATTGGGGTTTTAGGGCTCATGACAATTCAAATTTACCCTCCCTGCAATTATCTAAGCTCGGCACCTTTTAGGCCCTACTTGTCTCCTTATACAAACACTTGCATCCTCTGGGCAGTGACTGTTTTGCCAAACTAAAACCTCATGAAATCTCATATTTTGTTAATTGTGCTATGCTTGCTTGTCATAATTGTGCTATCTAAATGTACATATGCTAGTTTGTCGTACTTTACAATTTTTTTTAATCTTTAAGCTACTTGAAATAATCTTCACCAAGTCTTTACTTCACTCATGTTTCTGATCAACATTGAGAAAATAATATCCACATTATTCTAATGATGAAACATATTTTACCTCATTATCATGCCAGACAAAGCCAGAAAACCTCAATATATTACTCTTGATCTGCAAAGCCTGCAAGTTGAACACCACAACCTCTATTAAAGGAGATACACTCACTGAACAAGAACATTATGGCTATGCGAACAAAACCGAGAACCATAATGAAATAATTCTAATTTCTACGCCAGCCATGCCAGTAAGCAAGAATTCTAATTCTATATTAGACAACCATGTTTATCATTAATACACCTGAAATGTTTTATTGACCTCGATATGAGCAAGTACAAGATCCTAAACAGCAATAATCATAAGTTTCAAGAGAAATATACATATCAAGACGTTTAGGGCTGTTAACTTAAAATACATACCAAAGTGGGAATCTAGCAAAATTTAGTATTATATCCACATAGTACAGAAAAACATAAAAAACAATGAGGGTCGATATTTTGATGAAAGATGCTGCCATACAGATCCAAAGTCCATACAGGTAGGAACACTTATGCATGTAAAGAATACTATAGACATCACCATCTATGATTTATCTGTATAATTCTCATCACCAATGCAGGGGCAGTTATAATCGAATAGATTCTGATCATAACATCATAAGAGACCTCTACTTTTTCATGATAATATTCCAAAATCAAAAACTTCTCTATCAAAGACGATAAAGTCCTTACAGAACTAAGATTCTTGTGTTGAAGTTCGATTTACCTTTCCTCTCCTTCCAAATAAAATGGTATGGAGCAGTTTCAGAGTGTCATCAGTCGCCTTCCTCTTTGATAACTTGTATGCAACTGAAAAGTAATGCAAAATTTAGAAAGCAACACAACCACGGAAGAAGGGAATTATGGTCATTTAGGCTTTCATAAAAGTTCCAAGTACAAAAATAGACCGCAACAATTCCCAACCCCCACGTGTTTATGGACAAAACGGAAAAGTTAAGACAATTACCATTTGGAATGTCTTTCAGTGCTGTACCACGGCCCTGCATGCCATTATAACAACAAAAATCGGTCAAATAGAAAGATTTACTTGATACATTTAAGACATTACAGACATTAAAGACAAGCAGGGTTATAAAGTTTTAAATTTAGAAAACAACCTTCCCAATATGGAATTCCTTGATGGTATCTTTGTCAATAACTGCTACCAACCGCTCTACAGATTTCCGCTCCCGTACGGGCCGCTCAATTGTAGGAGGAGCAGGAGTAGTAGGTTCCTTCTTACTTTCCTTCCGTTTTTTCTCTACTGATGCCTTCTTCTTGTTATTGCTGCTATCTACACCGTCCTTCTTTCTTGCACTCTTTTTTGACCCCTTCTCTTTAATCTCTTCCTGATTCTCCTTTTCCTCTTCAATCTCTTCCTGGTTCTCCTCTTCCTCTTCAATCTCTTCCTGATTCTCCTCTTCCTCTTTCATATCAGCAACTTCTGCATTCTCCTTCTCGGTCTCCTCGTCTGCACTTGCCTTGTTGTCAACTTCCATTGCCTCACTCTTGGGTTCTTCGGTTTCTTTCTCTTCCCCTCCTTCCTTGTCATCGTTTACCTCCTTCTCTTCTCCTTCTTTATCATCTTTGCTTACCTCAGCATCTTCCTTATCAACCTCAACTTCTTTTGTTTTTTTACCATTCTCATCATCCTTTCTATCTTCATCCATCTCTTCAACTTGCTCCTTTTCCCCCTCTTTATTCTCGCTCACGTCTTTGGCAGCTTTATCAGAAGAGACAGTCCCATTCGCCGCCACTGCCTCCGCAACTTCAGTGGTCGAATCTTCCTCCCCCATAACTGGCAATTTGATTACAAGCAATTAAGCAAAACACATCATTGGTCAACACCCAACCAGCAAAAACACTGTGTAAAATCCTCAAAGACAGCACCTTTAAGTAACTCACTAACATCAACAACATATATCAAATATTGTAGCACATCAAATGTGAAGCACTTGCCCTTTTTGAATTGTTACCAACTTTAACCGTATGAAATTCTCCACATACAAAAATAACACGCACGAAACACATAAAAAAATCAATGATTCATGAAATGAAGTCCGACACAAGTTCCAGAAACCCTAAACACCATAAACCAAAACGAAATTGTGCACGTAAACCATGAATCACACACACACACACATCAAATTTCAGCAAGTCATGATAAGATCTACACACACTTACAACTTGCAAACACAATGATTCCAGACGACAAAATATAGTTGACCTTATTGACACGAAAAAACAAAACCCTAAGCAGAATAATGCAATTACCAAGCATTAAAAACAAAAGGAACCATATAAAGTTGCAAATTAATGAGTTGAAAGAAGTAAAATTGCGAAAACTTACAGAAATTAGAGCTGAATTGAAGGTTTTTAGAGAGAAATTGAGTTCAATTTCTGTGCCGATAAGAAAAGGGGGCAACTTTTGGGGTCCGAGCGTGGAGAGAGTGAAGGTACTTGTGAGTTCTCGGACTTGAAACACGGATTTTAAAAGCAGTTAATTGCACAATTCCACCGGGCGGAATAAGAGTGGCGGAGAGGAGTCCGATGGACGGCTGAGATGTTATCACCGCCGGATCTTGGAAAATTAACGGTGGATCTTTACCGGGTTCTCGGATCTAACCGGCAACTTTTTTCTATTCTCTCCGTTGTTGACTTGTTTAAATATAACCGTACACCTCTCCATGGTCCAAGTCTTCCACCACCACGTTCTTTCACAAATCATATGTCACCGGTTCAGCCAAGTCTTACAATAATACTGTATTTTTTTTTTTTCTTCTCAGGGTGATCACCTGTTTTACAGATAGTTCGGAGTCATCGTATTTGAACCTTTATAACCACAAGAGGATTTTTGTATAGATTTGAACTTGTGACCTCCTGGTACTTTTAACCTTTAAAGTCAAGCTCAAACCAATCAAGCACCACCCTTGTGGTTAATACTGTAGTTTTTCCTGTTTATTTTTCATGGTCTTTAAATTAGTCGAAGTGTATACAAACTGTTTATCTGACACCCATAATTAACAAATAAAAAATAATAGTTTTAACCATCATACTTTTTATAAATTTGCAAGTCATTGCTAATATTACGTTACGGTGTCATAAATCTTCAGGTCTGAATACGCCTAATACTAGTCATGTCTTTAAGATCTGTATATGGTACCGTTGGAGCAGTATATCAAAATCCAATGATTTAGGTTCGTTTGAAACGTTTATTAAGAAATTAAGGATTTAAACAAATTTAAAATTGGAATTTATTTAATATCGAAGCCGATGATAGAAATCAATCATGTAACGTAGGTTATAGAAAACCCTAAAAGACTATGCAGAGAAACAAATCATACCAAAAGGTTTTTGGCCTAGCGGTATCGTAGTTCTTGACCTCCTAAGATTTCAGAGGTTCAAACCTCACCAAATGTGAGGATGGTGTGTGAGTTATTTGTTGCATTTTCCGTATACAAATATTATATACTTCAAAAAAATCATAGTCTTATTAACCTAATTGATCTCTCGCCACCTGGATATTCCTCTAGCTATCCCGCCCCTCTGATCTATCAATATTCTATTACGTCGCACAGTATTCGATTGTAAACCCCCGATTAATATTTATACGTGTCAATGGAGCGAAGTTCCGAAAGACGTCTTTCTGGATGATAAATGATTAGCTACGTTTGGATTCCGTTCGTTCCTTATGATAGAGTTGCTTCATTTGATGTGACTCTCTCTTGCCCCCACACGCTTGATGATCAATGTCAATTTTTATGTCCATTTATGACAAAACAGTTTCTTACCAAGGGAAACAATGCCCGGTTTTTAGTAGGCGTGTGATTTAATTGGCCACGACTGTGATTTTGTTTATTTTGCGTAAATATCAGCGGGTTTGTTTTACATACATTGAATGATTAATTATATATGATATAAAAATATGTATGTGGTACACGACGAGACGGACACATGACAAAAACATGTCTCACATTTGGCACGACAATAAAACTATGACGGGATAAAACTGAACGAGACAAAAATTGCATTTTTTTTCCTATTTCGTCGATATATGTGAAACAAAAATGGGGAGATACGACAAATTGGTAATTACTAAAACTATAAATGTCAAATTAAAACCCTACAACCTTGCAAAATTTATATTCACATGACTGCTTCACCAGTGCTGATGTTGTCTCGTTTCATTCCATCCAATCATGTCTGGTATCGTCTGCATCTAAAGGATGCATATATGCTTAAACACTTACTTTTATTTTACAGGTGTGGTAGGGTTTATTTTTGAGCATCTCCAATAGATTTTCTAAAATTGGAATTTTTTGCGATTTTAGGCTGACTTTTTGCTCCAACTAATTATCGGATTCGATCTACTTCTTTATCTCATCATAAACCGTATGTTTGTAACAATATGAACAAAATTTTAGCAACTCCAATCAGTAAGGCGTATTGTGCCGGTTCGTTTGAGTAATATATCTGATTTTTTGTTGAAGTATATAATATTTATATTCGGCAAATGCAACAAATAAACTCACACACCCTCCTCACCTATGGTGAGGTTTGAACCCCTGACCTCCTAGAAGGCTCGCTAGGCCAAAAGCCCATTGGTGTAATATATCTGAAATTTCCGTTGATGTGTTATTAACATTGTTTCGAACACAAGTGGTATATTTCAAAATAACCAATAACAAAATCTAATTAATTAAAATGGAAGTAAAAGTTTTATAAGATTATTGTTCACTAAAAAAATATGAAAACAATTAAATCATGTATAAAATCACGCGTGATTTTATACTAACGGTCAATGTAATGAAGTACAGACGACGTGACACAAGACCTCAAGTCTAGGAGTGGAAATGATGCAAGTCGAGCTCGAGTATCAATATACTCGACTCGAACTTGATAGTCATTTCTCAAGCTCGAACTCGACTGAAAAGCTCACGAGCAGTTAAAAACTAAACTTGACTCGAACTCAATTGCAATTTTTTAAACTCGAGCTCGAACTCATTTGAAGCTCGAAACAAGCTCGAACTGCAACTCGAACCAAGCTCGTCAATTGAAATTTATGAAATTTTAGGGTCTTCTCTTTTAAATTTCAAAATTTAAAGGTGTTATCTTAGTTTTTATAAAACTAAATGGATCAACTTCAAAATTTATCATCAAAAAGACAAAGTTAGAAATTTCATTCACTTTCCCTCTTTTTATAACATATTTTATTTCTTCCTTTACTATATCTCTTTCAATGTGGGGCAATTTCACCGACAATTTTACAGTTTTTTTATCTTTTTAATTGTGATTTTAATAAAAGGTAATTGATTAGTTTTATAATTAAAAAATGCATAATTTTCTTTAAGTATCTATAAAAATATATGACATTTTTATTATTTATATTTTTACAAAATTTATTATAAAAACTGATTATATTTTAATACTAATGTAATATAAAATAATCGAGTATCTTACAAGTTTTTCAAGTCGAGTATTGGGTAGTTTGATTCGACTCATTAGTATATCAAGCCGAGTTCGAACCAAGCCTTTTCAAATCGAGTGTTAACCGAGTCAATATAATTCACAAATTGTCTCGTATCATTTATAATCCTATTTTACAAGTAGTTTTAGGCATAATTTTTTTTTTAAATCAAATCCTATTCGACAATCTCATTTTCTGGTACGAACCTAAATCATTTCTAGTAACTTCTAAAATTAGAAAAGAGTGTGGTTTTAGAGAATCGATTTTTCATTCTCGTTTTGGATTATAGCATTAAGATTCGACCTGAGATGGACCCTAATGTGAAAATCAAAAAGCCAACAATTATTGGCATCAAATGCATTATTGATGAACTGTTTTGATTCGATTTGATTTAGGGGATGTTGTCAAAATCGGCGGGAATTCGAGATCAATGATCATTAGTGCTCTACGGATTGTGGGTAAGGCGTATCTACCTTTTTATACGAACTTATTGCAGTTTTTTCATCTTCAAATAATTGCTCATGTAATGCTATTTCGTAATTTTGGTTGCTCATGAGTCATGAAGATCATCGTTGAATCAATCGGTATTTATGTGTTCAAATAATCGGTCATATAATGCTGTTTCGTAATTTTGGTTGTTCATGAAGACCATCGTTGAATCAATCGGTGTTTATATGTTCAAATAATTGGTCATATAATGC